AAATCAATAAATCTTATTTTTAGATTTAAAATGCATTGTAATTCATAAAAATTGAAGTTTAGTACAAAAAGTTATGCCTTTTCAAAATTAGGCATAAATTCTTAAAATTTGAAAATTAACCAAATAAACAATGCACTTTGCCGTGGGAATTGAGCACACATGAGTTAGGATCACAATCTAGAAATATTTTTCCCTTAAATATCTCATTGAAAGATTCAAGTAGAACTTAGAATTATATCATTTTGATTTTTCTAAATTTAGTTATGATTTTTCAAAATTGAGCCAAATTTAAAGTTATAATGAATAGTAACCCGAGAAAAGAGATTTGAAAATTCAATTTTTTTTTTTTAAAGTTAAAGACTTATTAAATGATTCCAATTGCTTCTACTTATAAAATTGAATGATACATTTAGGTGCTGCAATTACTGTTACTTTTTTCGCAACTGCCACTATTGCTGCTCCATTATCTAATTTATTACAGAAAGATGTTTTTGAGTGGAATTTAGAAGCAACTACGTTTCCAGAAATGGAAAGAAGCTTTAATATTTCCTCTTGTTTTGGCATTGCCAGATTTTTCTCAACCATTCATTATTGAAGTTAACGCTTCAGGTTCTGGTACTGGGGCTATTTTGAGTCAGAACAGGTATCCTGTAGCTTACTTTTCTAAGAAGTTATCTTCAATAATGCAACAAAAATCAGCTTATGTCCGCGAACTCTGTGCTTTGACTGAGGTGGTTTCCAAATTTCACCATTATTTGGTTAGTCACTCTTTTATTATTAAGACTGATCCACAAAGGTTGCGTCATTTGGGAAACCAGGTTATTCAAACGCTGAAGCAAGAGGCTTTTTTCTTCCTAAGTTATTGGGGTGCGACTTTAAGATTGAGTATAAGACAGGGAAGTCAAATGTTGCTGCGGATGCTTTATCATATTCTTACACATGGCTATCTCTTTTGCTACCAATGATTTGTTTGACAAGATACAGTTAGCTATTAACAATTCTAATGAATTATCTATGCTAAGGTGGAAAGTCATGGAAACTCCATTGAATTATCCAGATTACACAGTTCACAATGGGCGGCTTTCTACAAGCAAGGTCATGTTCTACCTCATGAGGCTAAGCCTTACCGCATACTATATTAAGTTCCATTCCTCTAAGTTTGGAGGACATTTCGGCACTGTGAGGACCCATGCGAGGGCAGCAGCTGAAGTTTAGTGGAAGGGTGTGAGAAAAGATATTAAAGCGCAATGTGCAGTGTGTCAGCAAGCAAAAGCAGTCCGGTATTCCCCATACGAGTTATTACAGCCTCTTCCTTTGCCATCACAAGTATGAGAAGGTATATCTGTGGACTTTATAACTGGATCGCTTACTTCTAAGGGCTTTACTGTGATCTTTGTTGTTGTGGATAGGCTCTCCAAATTTGGCCATTTTTTCAGCTATGAAGTCCAATTATATAGCAGAATTTGTGACTGACTTATTTCTTAACCATATCCCAAAGTTGCATGGTATTCCAAGGTCCATAGTTTCAGAAAAGAATAAAGTTTTTACTAGCTCGTTTTGGAACCAACTGTTCAAGCTGCATGGAACCACTGTGTATGAGCTCTTCTTATCATCCACAAAGTGATGGACAGACGGAAGCTTTAAATCACTGATTGGGAATGTATTTAAGGTGCTTTGCCCACCGGCAACCCTATCTATGGGTCACTTATCGTCCATGGGCTCAACACTGTTATAAAACTTTTTTTCCATATATCTCTGGGGCATGGGCATGACCCCTTACAAGATTTTATTTGAAGGAGACCCACCAATGCTAGTGCATCCCGATGAACCTCTCACTCTCTCCATTACAGTAAGATTCTGTCTCAATTGAAAGCCAACCTGTAAAAATCTAAAGAAAGGATGAAACTTTTTGTTGATGAGAAATGAACTGAATATAAGTTTCAGATTCGTGACTGTGTCTTTGTGAAGTTGCAGCCATATCGCCAAGTTAGCTTACGACACCACAGAAACCAGAAGCTGTCTCTATGTTATTTTTGCCAATTTCGTATAGTTGGACGAGTTGGTTTTATGGCTTACAAGTTTCAAATGTCACCTGGAACAAGGCTACACCCTGTTTTTCATGTTTCTCACTTAGAGGTGCATTGGTGACCCTCAGGCTCAATACCAACCTTTACCGCCACTGTTTGGGCCTGTTCTGCAACCAGAGTTTTTCTGGATTCAAGAAAGGCAAAAATGTGTGATACTTGGGTCACTTGGGTGGTAATTAAATGGGAAGTGTTTGATGAGCCTACTTAGAAGAAAACTGATTTTTTTTGGTGCTGCAAACGGGGGAAGTAATGTCGTGGATGGGCTGGCCCAAAATGACGCCAAGTCCAATGACGTAGCTGAGTCCAGCGGAGAAGGGTCTGTTGTGCCACGTAGGATTAATTGAAGGGAAAATCACTAACAGGTCCCACAGAAGGCAATTTATTACTCTGAGGTCCCACGAAATGTCAAAATCACTGACAGGTCCCAATGGACCTCAGAGTAATATTTTCGTTTTGTAAAATGACATTACTGCCCCTCATATTCCAGATTCACATTTGCTCTGTCATTACGATTTACAACCTCAGCAGCGACTATTAACAACCTAATGAGAAGGTGTTAACAACCCTAGCAGTATCCGTTAACAACTTACTTTATAGAATTATATAACCTCTACATAAGAGTAAATTATAACCAAATAATATAATACAACAACTTTAATACTAAAATGGGAAGCTTTTTGATATCATTAAGAATTTTAACTAGATCCAATAGGATTATAGTAATATTTTAATGCGAATATCCATTTACAATCTCAACAGCGAGTATTAACAACCGAATGAGAGGGCATTAACAATCTAAGCAGTAGCCGTTAACAACTTACTTTATAGAATTATATAACCTCTGCATAAGAGTAAATTATAACCAAATAGTATAATACAACAACTTTAACACTAAAATGAGAAGCTTTTTGATATCATTTAGAATTTTAACTAAATCCAATAGGATTATAGTATGATTTTAATGTGAAGATCCATTTACAACCTCAATAGCGACTATTAACAACCGAATGAGAAGGCATTAACAACCTAAGCAGTATCCGTTAACAACTTACTTTATAGAATTATATAACCTCCGCGTAAGAGTAAATTATAACCAAATAGTATAATACAACAACTTTAACACTAAAATGGGAAGCTTTTTTATATCATTAAGAATTTTAACCAAACCCAATAGGATTATAGTAACATTTTAATGCGAAAATCTATTTACAACCTCAACAGTAAGTATTAATAACCTAAGGAGAATTGTTAACAACCTTAGCAGTGTCTGTTAACAACTAACTTTATCGGATAATATAACTTCTAACTATAACTAACTAAACTATAACTAAATAGTCTTAAAGTTAATCTTATATAGTTGTTAGAGGTTATATTATCCTATAAAGTCAATTGTTAATAGATACTGCCTAGATTGTCAACAGCTCTCTTTGGGTTATTAATACTCACCATTGAGGTTGTAAATGGATCTTCGCATTAAAATGTTGCTATAATCCTATTGGGTTTAGTTAACATTCTTAATGATATCAAAAAGCTTCCCATTTTAGTATTAAAGTTGTTGTATTATACTATTTGGTTATAATTTACTCTTATGCGGAGGTTATATATTCTATAAAGTAAGTTGTTAACTGATACTGCTTAGGTTGTTAATGCCTTCTCATTCGGTTGTTAATAGTCACTGTTGAGGTTGTAAATGGATCTTCGCATTAAAATATTACTATAATCCTATTGGATCTAGTTAAAATTCTTAATGATATCAAAAAGCTTTCCATTTTAGTGTTAAAGTTGTTGTATTATATTATTTGGTTATAATTTACTCTTATGTAGAGGTTATATAATTCTATAAAGTAAGTTGTTAACGGATACTGCTAGGGTTGTTAACGCCCTCTCATTAGGTTGTTAATAGTTGCTGCTAAGGTTGTAAATCGTAATGACAGAGCAAATGTGAATCTGGAATATGAGGGGCAGTAATGTCATTTTACAAAACGAAAATATTATTCTGAGGTCCCTTGGGACCTGTCAGTGATTTTGACATTTCGTGGGACCTCAGAGTAATAAATTACCTTCTGTGGGACCTGTTAGTGATTTTCCCTTAATTGAATGCACACGATCACTTGGAAAATGAGAGAGAAGATGGAATAAATGGAGGCTCTGCAGGAGAGGACGGGCCAGAAGAATTTTGTTAAGATTTTCCCTCTAATATACTCTGCTCCTCTCTAGCAATTTCTCTGCTGTTTTTCCGTTATTATGATTTCCTTATGATTGTAGCTGTGACTACCATATTTACTTTCTAGTATCGTGGATTTGTAATGTGTTGTGATTCTCTGCAATGCTCGTTGATATGCAGTCATAATACTAATACAAAGATTTTCCAGAGAAACTTTGTGTCTTTATAATTGTTTATCTCGCAAACATATTGATTCCATTAGGGTTGCAATATGATTATCTTTATTGCATAACAATAAAACTCAAAAGAAGTAAAAGCTTGCACTAAATACTGTTCGTTCAATTTTTCCATTATGATTGCATTATGCGCATCATTGTGAGATCACGATTTTCTCATATCGCACTAAAATATATATATATATATATATAATAAAAGGAATTCGGATGCACATTATTATTTGCAAAGAAAACAAATTAAAGAAGGAAAAAGACAAAGGAAAAAGATAGTGCACCGATGATTGCGAATCCATTATTGCATTTGTGGATGAGAATCCATTACATTGCAACAAACGATTTGTGGACGTTATTGTCAGTTCACTGTACAATTATCATTAGTCAACATGTGATTTTATTGATATTTTGATTTGATTGTAAATTTTATTCAGAAAAAGACACACACACACACACACACAAGCGCGCATCTACACAAAGAAGTAGACAATAATGAGATATAACAGGCGGCAAGTTCTGATTTTTATGGGCGTTAAGAGTGAGAATATGGAAGGAAAAGAAAGAGTAATGAAGTTAGGAGGGTCACTTCTGGTACCTTCAGTTCAGGAATTAGCAAAGGAGGGTTTAAGCAAAGTTCCTGAAAGATATGTGCGTCGTGATCATCACCATGAACTTGATTCTTCATTTGATCAAAACTCTCCTCAAATTCCTATAATCGACCTCTCCAAGTTATCTTCTTCAAATTTCAAGGCCTCCGAGCTTCAAAAACTTCACTTTGCATGTCGAGATTGGGGCTTCTTTCAGGTATCTTTTTTTATATCTTTATTTATTTATCCATCTCCCTCCTTTATCTCCTCTCGCTCATTCTCTCCATCTCTCTCAGCCCCTCATTCTCCCCTCTCTTCCCTCACTCTCTCCCTCTCTCTCCCACCTCACTTCACTCTCCCTCCCTCTCCCTCTCACTCCCTATTTCTCTCCCTTTTGCTCTTGCCTCCCTCCCTCCCTCCCGCTAACCCACACATCCACAGGTCTTTTGCGAAACCTTGTCCTAGATGCCATTATCCTTGTTTATCTTTAAAGGATTTTCTGCTTGCATAAGCACAGACCATTCATTTAATTTGAAAATCTTATAGTTGAATTTTTCAAAATGATTGAATTTAATTGGTTATAGCTCTACCTTTTGATATTTGCTTTTGATTTTTTGTTATACAAAATTAACGGAGGTGGTGGAGAACATTATATTTACATTAATGGCAATTATGCTAATAAAGTAAATCAGCCTTCACTTCAGCATCTTCAATATATTTTTCAGAATAATAATTCCAACAATTTTTATATTTTTTTTGCTTCCAAAACTTGTTCTAAAAAATTACTTTAAATAATTGTTCTAAAATCATACAAGTAAATAATAGAATCAAACAAACCTTTATGTTCTTTTAATTCGGTAGCTACTTTTGCTTTTCGATGAACTATCATAAACAATCACAGTTAATCCCCTAAACAATCATTTTGTTTATTTGGATTGTACGTACGTGCAAATTGTCTCTTCTCTCTATCTCGTCCTTCTCACGAAAGTTGCATATTATGACCAAGAATTATAGGCGAAACATTTAATTTTTCTGCATATATAAAAACTTTCTGCAAGTAGGGGACTATATATTATTTTTTATTGAACATTATGAACACAAAAAACTAGACATTTTTTGGCCCATGAATAATTATACATATCCATGACTTTTTATAAATTGTAAAATTGATATTAATATTGATGATGTAGGTGATAAATCATGGAGTGGAAAAGTCAATAGTTGAGAGAGTGAAGAAGGGAATACAAGAATTCTTCAATCTTCCAATGGAAGAGAAGAAGAAATTTTGGCAAACACCAGAAGACATAGAAGGGTTTGGTCAAGCATTTGTGGTTAGCGAGGAGCAGAAGCTTGATTGGGCAGATATGTTCGCCATGATCATTCTTCCTCCTTCTTTGAGAAAGCCCCACCTCTTCCCCAACCTTCCTCTCCCATTTAAGTAGCTCTCTCTCTCTCTATATATATATATCTCTACCTCTACACTCTTTTTTTTATTAAAAGGATAGGCATTAACAACCCAAGATTATAAGTACCCCTCTCTCTACCCTAATTATACACTGAATTCCGCAAAAACTTCTTCGAACTTTTAGCTAACAAATAATTATTTGACCTTTAAAACTTGATATAAAAAAACTGGTTCAAATTTCCAATTTATATAGTAACCTTTTTACCCTTAATAAGTCTCTAGTCATTTGTATCTATATACAAGATACTTAACCAATGATTGATATTTAGAACATATGATGTGGTGGCAATACTTGCAGGGATGATTTAGAGGCATATAGTGTAGAAGTGAGAAAGCTAGCATTAAAGATTCTAGACGAAATGGTGGAAGCACTAGGAATGGAAGAAAAAGAAATGAGAGAGCTGTTTGAAGAAGGTTGGCAATCAATTAGAATGAACTATTACCCACCATGTCCTCAACCAGAGCTTGTGAATGGCTTGAGTCCTCATTCAGATGCAGCTATTCTCGCCGTCGTGCTTCAAGTCAATCAAGTTGACCAAGGCCTTCAGATAAAAAAAGATGGCTTTTGGTTGCCAGTCACCTTTCTTCCTAATGCTTTTGTGGTCAACATTGGTGATACGTTGGAGGTAATCAAAACTTATATTTAATTTTGTCCTAAATATAGGAGCAAATAAATAACTAATTTAAAAATATTGAACAAATTAATTAAATTTATTATTTATAATAAATGCGTGTTGATTTTTCTAAATTACCCCATTTGATCATTTGGATTGGAAGTGACCCTCATTAATAAGAACCTTCTTACAATGTGAAAATTAATTGTTTGGGATAAATTTGCAAGATCAAGTGGATTTAGATTTTACATTCAGGATTAAAGCAAATTCTTCAACTAACTCATATATACTTCTCAAATCCTTAATGTAAGGGTTACTAATTACTTGCCTAATTTGTGTCAATTATTTAAGAAAACTTAATAAAATACTTAATTTTAAAAAACATGACATAATCTTTCTAAAATATCTTTATTAATATTAGATTATATATCGATTGATAATTAGATAAATTAGTTTAAAAAAATAATAAATATAAGAGATAAAATAAATTAAGATCCTAAATTTAGAATAAAAAATAATTTCCTAACTGTTTCCTACATTTAGGATTGGAGGAGTATTTAAGACTAGTCAGAGAGAGTACAATCATTGGAGAGTGTTTTTTTTTTTTTTCCTGAGTGTAGCCTCTATTAGAATAAAATCGATGGATCCCATATTATACTCATACTTTTCAAAAATAGTTATACTCTTATAGAATGCATGATACGATGGGATGCACACGTTGTATGGGTGAATGTTAGTATACTTGTTTATATGACTTTTTTTTTAAAAAAATCGTTTTGGATTTTTAAGATGAAATAGGAAAAGGAATTCAACAGGAAATAAGCAAATATTTTTAATTATATGGTATGGATATTATATATATTGATGTAATTTAAGGGAATGGTGATTGTTATAGAAAGTAAGATGATGATTTGGTGGATGTAGGTTTTGACAAATGGCATTTACAAGAGCATAGAACATAGGGCAGTGGTGAGCTCAGAGAAAGCAAGGATGTCTATAGCCACATTCTGTGGTCCAAAGTCGGATGGACATATAGGTCCAGCACCAAGCCTAATCAATCCACAAAGGCCAGCTTCATTCAAAACAATTAGTGTTGCTGAATTTTACAAGGGTTATTTCTCTCGCAAGCTCGCTGGAAAATCTTATCTTGATACCATAAGGATCCAAAATGATTAATTGACAATAGAGCATATGGTGCAAATCTGTAATAATACTCTATGTTGCTCAATAAACACCATATGGATATAGAATAATAACATAATATGCTCTCCTTCATCTAGTGCGTATGTATCTTGTTCAACACTTGGACACTATGGTATGCAGACATAATACTTTAACGTGTAAATTAATGTTTTATGCAAAGCCGATAGTGTAGATTGTGTTTGCAAGTCCAACATGTCAACCTATAAGTTGTAATGGGTTTGGTTTGACAGAAGGTCAATTCATTAAGATCTAAGTTGTTCCGACTTGGCAGGTTGGCTCAACTCGCTTTTATTTTTATAATTCTAATTTTAATAAAAATTATTATTGTATATTATTTGATTTAAACAGAACTACTATGTTTTATGTTAGGAACTTCATTCTATGTTTATTTTTTTTACTTTGTTTATTTATTATTTTTGCATTAATATAGAACAATCATATAAAATATGTTATATATTTGTATATAAGTGTTGGGGTTAATTTAATTATATAACTATGAAAATATAAAAATAATTTCAATTTAGTCTATGCACTTTGTAATTTAATTTTAGAAAAATTAAAAAATTAAAAAACGTCAAGGGGGAGGAAATGATGAACCGCTTTGTAATTAGTAGAGCCACGGCTTTGTCAGACAGAGGCCTTATCTTCCTCTTTAATTTCAAGTTTTGGTATTTTGATTGAAGTATTTTATGTTGGCAAGAAATTATTTTCCATATGGAATAGGGGCGTTCAGGTCAGTCTTGTTCTTGTTGGTCCATTTCTATCTCGGCCTATTTGAGACATGACGGGACAGGCCCAAATAGTTTTGGGATGGGACAAAAATTCGGATGAGACAAAATGAATACCGGAATGGGACGTGGGATGAGCATGTCTTATCCCAATATATGTTTATCTTAATATTGAGATCAGCAGCTGGTCAAAAAAAAAAAAATTGAGAACAGCAAGGGGAAAAAAAAAAACCAGATCGGCTGGCTCAAATAAGAAATTAGTGAGTTAGCCATTTGTTCGGTTTGGTTCAGTGCTTGAACCGGTAGATAATTAAACCAAAACAAACTATTCTAAAACGATGCAACCCGATATTAACCTGAGTAACCCATTGGGTTGGGTGGGTTGTTAGAAACAATCTCACCCAAGAAGGGGGTGAATTGGGTGAGTTACAAAAGTTTTAAATTAAATGCATGACAGTATTGAATAAAAACAGAGAGTCAGAGTTAGGAGAAATTTCACCACAGAGGGAAGACACAAGATTTATATTGGTTCGGTCTTAACCACTTGACCTACTTCCAGTCCCCAGAACACCTCTGAGTATTTCACTATCTTCCAAGATCGACAGGGGGCTTGGTGCCTCGGTACAGTAATTGAATCGCTCAATCACTCCCCCTTACTCTCGTAAGGATATAAGCCCTCTCAAGAGTCCACACTCTTGAGTATCACTCAAGTATTTGATAAGAGTAGTAATTGGCTCTCTTACAGAGTGAATTTAATGATGAACACTGATGCTCGGTAGTAACGTGGAAAACAGAGTATTGAATGCTAGACTTAATAACAGGTGGTAGTTCCGGTATTCAATCTCTTCATTAATGCTTCTTCGCGCCTTTTATAGTTGATATCGTTAAGTAGCCGTTAGACGGAAGAGCTTCTAGCCGTTGTGACTCCGTTTGCGTGTTTCGCTGGTTTCAACGGTTTCGCCATTAATGCGTCTGAGCTTCTGACACTGTAGGTTGCAGTCTACGTAATCCCGTTGAAGAGCCGTTGTATTCTTTTTCATTAATCTGCATATTTAAAGCTTTAAACAAATAAGAGTCTTGTGGTAAATACTTTAGTCATGAACTAAGAAGAGAAAACAAATTTATCATTCAAAGATTTGGGATGAAATGATTTATCTGTAAGAAGAGCAGAAAGACATTCTGGATATGTTTGATCGAAGAGATGATCGATTACTTGTTGATAGATCATGTTATCGATAAACAGAATGAAGACTTTTCGAATTAGTTCTACAATATTATCGATCAAGTGTTGGATCATTGACTTTAAGAATTATCATAGTAAACGGAAATCGTTCCATGATCGAACAAGTGATCGAACACTTGTTTGATCGAACAGATTATCGATAATTCAAATGTTATTGAAATGAAACTTCAGTCATTGATGATCGAACAACTTATCGATAAATGTATGATGGATAATGTTATTCGATAAACCATGAGTATGAATATATTCAGTGAAAGACACAGACTATCTGAAGTGATCGAACAGGTGATCGATCAATGAATATTCGAACAAGTGATCGAATAAAGTGAGAAAAGAAATTTAATCATGTAAGGTAAAGAAACTGATTATCGATCACGTTTTGTGAAAACATGAGTTTCAGAGAATTGAATGATCGATCATATTATCGAAAAGCCAATGATCGATTAGGTGATCGAAAATAGTTCAACATAAGTTAATGCGAATATAGCAATCCTTAGACTCTTTATCGATCATGTTATGTGAAAAGATATTTATGCAAACAAGTTAAATTATCGATAATGTTATCGATAATTTGGTTGCAGGAAAACTAAATAAGAGTAGATAAGGACATTGATTATCGATCATGTGATCGATAATTTTATGATCAATAAGGTTATCGATCCATCAGTAAAGATGATTACCTGCATCCAGAGAGTTAGAGCATAATGTTCGAACATGTGATCGATAAACAAATGATCGAGAATATGATCGATAAATTGGTAATAGAATTTATGTGCAGAATAAGTAGATTGTGTTACCTTTTATCGAAGTCGTTATTGATAACTGATTTATCGATCATGTGATCGATAAATACACTTCAGATTTGGTTCTCTTTATCAGTAACTCGATTGTTTATCTGATATTATCGATCAGTTGATCGATAATTAACCATAATCTTGTGTGATTTCCACGTTAGCGATAATCGATCATTTTATCGATTAACTACTTATCGAATAGTTCTTCGATCAAAATACCTACTATAAAGCAGATTTACACTTGAACAATTATCTGTAACCTTAGCGATAAACGATTGATCGATCAGTTGATCGATCAAAATACTTAAGCCAAATTATCTGACTTTGTTATCATCAAAACTATAATCCTAACATGGGTTACCTAGATTTTTATTTTTATTTTCATTTTTTAAAACTAAAATCTTCGGCCTCAAGTAAACGTCCAGAGAACAAGAGACATGAAGAAGATGATGACTGGAAAAAAAAAGAGTTTTGTAAAAAAAGAGAGAGAGAGAGAGAGAGAGATAAAGGAAACATAGGAGATGAAAGAAGAATGAAAAATAATAGCTCACGAAAACCTATCAAGAATCATCTGTTGCAGATTGTAGAGGGAAAGAAAGATGAAAGTGAACAGTCGATAGAGATGCACGGATGAGAAAGAACAACGCAGAGAGATGTACGCAGCAAGTTCATTAGATGACAAATTTATCCGGTAAATTTTCACTTAGGAACTCTGGTTATCCAAAAGTATTTTAAGAGTAATTTTTTTTAAAAATTTAAAATCACAGTAATAGTACTCTATACTATTAAAAAACTAATATTAATTGTTAAAATAGTGATGCTGATTATTAATGTCTTCAGTAATACAAGATAATATTGTTATGATTTTAAACTTCTAAACAAATTTGCTCCCAAAACAACTTTTGAATACCTAGTAGTATTTTTGAGTGAAAACCTTTGAAATAAATTTACAATTTAACGCCATTCAAAAATACATATTTGTTCTTGCCACATTTTTAAATAATTAATATCAATCAATATCCCACACTTACCAACCCGTCGGAGGGGCTTAGAAGAAAGCGCGGCAGTAAAGCTTCCTCCATACGCGTGCTCATATTTCTTTTATTTTTCAGTGAACTTCGTTGAATTTGCATGACCACACACTTAATTGCCATTTTTTGTTATTAAGAAAAATAAATACATTAAAAGGGGCTGACACATAAATCTTTATTTATTATCATAAAATAAGTCCTGGAAATAAATGAATTTTTTCACATATTATATTTTTAAATATGGTTAATATAATCGTTAGTCCTTTAAATTTGTTCTCATTTTAGTTTTGGTCCCTCAAATTTTAAACATGGATTTTGGTCTCTTAAAAAACAACGTGGTGTGGGTTTTTATTAAACTATAAGTATCAATATTTTAAATGAAAAAAACTTGTGGGACTAGAATTTATGATTTGAAATTTGAAACAATAAAATCAAAATTGGGGTAAAGTTGAGGAATCAAAAATTATATTATCCCTTCTAAATATTTTTTAAACTCTTTATATATCATTTAAATTTTATTATTACTTGACATCCATTTATCTTTATAATTTTATTATTGTCTTAAAAATTTATTATTTTAATTAAGATAGGTTTAGCCCTAAATTGACCCCAACTTGGACCACTAACCATTAAATAAACTTAACTCACCGGTTCAGTAACCACTCCGACTTTTTTCTTTTTTTTTGGCCTTGCAGATCAGGGAAGTGAAGGGAGATCATGGTCCTACGCTAAACGACTAAAACCACATAATAACAATAATATAATATATCTAAAGAACCCTGTTAAAGCCGATCCACTCTGTCTCATCAGTCTCACAACAGAACCTGTTTCTGTTTGAACCACGCTCATATTTTTCTCAATCTTATTCCCCATAAAAGCCCTCTTCATTCTCCCACTATTTGAGCCGAAAGAGAAGAAACAAACAATGTAAAAAGCAAAGCAGATAAGAAACCGCTGGTCATCGTAGTAAAATTTATATTCAATAATTCATTATACAATGATTTTAAGAATTATTCCATATCACGATGCAAAACCAATGATGAATAGAGTCAACAGGACCCATGAAATGGTTAGAAGAGTAGAACAGGTGGAGGATAATGCCATGATGTATATCACGTGTTTGTTTTTTATCCAGTGGTTGTTTTTGTGTCAATGTCATAAGACCCACCAACACCCACATAACCTTTGCCTCTTTTTTCCTTCAAGCAAAAGGACAACTTCTTCCGTCTTCTTCTTCTTGGAACACCGGCGATAATCTCTGACTCCAACATCCAAGTCTCAAGCTCTGCCACTAGAATAAGACCACCTCCCACGTCCTCGTTGTGACTCCACCAACACCAGTTTCCGCTACCACAACAATGATAACTTCTCCCAGGCCCCCAGTTTTGCAAGTCTTGCTGATGCTCCTTTTCTCTTTTTTCTTTTTTTGTCCTTCTTTTAAGGGAAAATTACACTCAGGTCCCACAGAACACAA